CACACAAATTTGATGTGATGACAAATATTTCGCAAAATACTATGCCTGCTCTGATCAGAACTCGGACATTTCACTTTCACTTGATAACATTCTTCTTTATTATTATTACTACTACTTTTTCATGTACAACATCACATCACTTTTTATTGTCACTTCATATATCCTCATTTTTCAAATTACACAGCAGCTAACCCATGGTGGAAACTCGGTTCTATCAAGACGATCTCGAGTCACTGCCTGGTCGAAAGTTGAATGCTTCCACCGAATAAGAATACTGAAGCAGTTTTTCTGAAATCACGTGGACATTTCAAACTGGCTGCCTTCAACGTTTACACACTAATGCCGATCGGACAACAGATAGAGCTGGCTATGTCTTTAGAAAATCTTCATATCGACTTTTGTTGCCTATCCGAGACCCGTATTCAAGACTCTAGTGAAGTACTACAAATTCGCTCTCTATCTGTCACTTCAAATAGCTTGTTTCATCTGCATTTATCCGAGGACCCTGTGGCGTCTTCGTCCGCTTTTGCTGGCATTGGTGTCGCACTAAGCACTAGAGCTGAAGCAGCTCTAATCGACTGGATCCCCATTAACAGTCGGTTATGTGCTGTTAGATTAGAAAGTTCCATCAAAGTGAGAAGAAATCGGCGTGAGGAACGATGTCTTTTCGTCATCTCCGCCTATGCTCCGACAGATTGCAGCCGGGATGAATTTTACCACCACTTAACTGTTTTTCTCTAGAAAGTGCGTTCGACAGATATTGTAGTACTAGCCGGAGACTTGAATACTCAGGTAGGGCGTCTAGGCACAGAAGAGAGTCGTTTAGGTGGCCGATGGGGACTCGTTGGTCGCAGGTCAGATAACGGGGACCGTCTACTGCAACTTTGCACAGACCACAACCTGTTTCTGGCTAGCACTAACTTTCGGCACAGTCATCGCCGATGTGCCACCTGGCGTCCTCCATCTGCATCTCAAGCCTGGACTCAGATTGATCACATCGCGATCAGCTACCGCTGGCGTGGCTGTGTACAAGACTGCCACTTCTTTTGGAGTACCTATCTGGACTCTGATCATGCCCTGCTCTGCGCCAATCTTACCCTACTTTTCGGTGGCCAACGAATTCATAGTCCTAAACGCATTGATGTCAGTAAACTGATTGCAGCTTCTCTTGCAACAAAGTATCAAACCGAGCTAAGTTCTAAGCTAGCTACCGTCCCACCGAAAAACACAGATGAGCATTGGTTGCAATTGCATGACGACATGAAAATGGCGATTAAAGTCGCTTGCGGCTCCGCGAAACGTCCGGGTTACTTCAGGCTCCCTACAACTCATTGGAGCTCGTTGGTGTACTCCAGGTGGCCGTGAGTGTGGCCAAAAGCGAAGAAGTGCAAAGTAATTTCACAAGAATGGCAGGACCCTGCACTCACCCTAGATAGTGAGCAGATAGAAGTAGTCGAGAAGTTCGTGTATCTAGGTAGCTGCATAAATGCTGGTGGTGGCGTGAGTGATGAGATCAATGCACGAATAGTGAAAGCCAGAGCGGCTTATTGTCGATCTAGGCCATCTTTGGCACCTTCGTGACGTTAGTCTGGCTGTAAAAGGTCGGATCTACAACGCGTCGGTGAGAGCAGTTTTGCTCTATGTTTGTGAAACCTGGCCCCTCCGAGTTGAAGACGTTAGACGACTCTCTGTTTTATCATCGCTGTCTCCGAAGGATTGCTGACATCCGATGCCAACACCATATTAGTAATGCAGAGGTTCGGCATCGTGTGTTCGGACGCAGAGACGATAATTCAATTGGTGTCACTATCTTGAAACACTGACTTCGGTGGCTTGGACATGTTCTACGAATGTCGTCACAAAGAATCCCACGTCGTGCATTATTTTCCGATACTGTGACTGATTGGAAAAAGCGGAAAAGTGTTCAGTGTATGACATGGTGTCGTGGTATGAAAGAAAGCTGTACAGGACTGGCTTCTATTGGTCCTTCATGACTCTGGTTATGGTCCTATAGATGGCACAACACAATGGCTAGAGACACTATCAAACATGATTCGGAAGACAAGTCAGTGGCGGTCCTGTTGTAACTTTCTTTTACTTTATTCAGAAAAGTGAACGTAACTTCTTTAACTGAAATAATTCTTTCTGGTTAGGTTTTTCCTAACTGAACTGTTCCTCCTCCTCCTCCTATTATTATTATTATTATTACTTCATCCTCATATACTAATTTCTGTTCGTTGTTATTCTTCTTTAATTATGCGCACTATATATTATCTATCTCTTCACAACCTCGTTGTTATTGTATGGTGCATATGTATTTGTGCCACCTTGTACCAATGTTTATGTGTTCAAGTAAATAAATAAATAAATGACTTGTTTCCTGACAATATTTTTATAGTTTGAAGACATTAGCTAGAAAGCCTCCAACAGCGTACATCTGTTTTCCCAAAATATTTGGCTAAGTCTTGTTCAATACCGTTCACCCATCAGCATAATCGTTTATTATTTGGCCTTGAACTGATATGCTTGACTCGTTTGGCGTAGATACTGTAAGTCCCATTATAAACCATCACATGGCGGTCTCTCGAATATTCCACTAGCACAAAATATTTCATTTAATTTTCAAAATACTTATTCAATTGTTTTAGTAGTTTAAAGTAGCATTATTGCGATAGCTGAATAGTTTACTATGATATGGCTTATCTGTTTTGCGTAAAAACTATCAACATCCCTCCTGTGAATTTCAAGTCCTACCTTAATCCAGGTAATTAGGTAATATCATTAGCTTATGTACTAAAACGATGGCTCAAAGTCACATAAGTAAACCTGTACTTGATTGACGAGTTTATTATGCATGAGTTTTAAACATGTTCTAAGTTCGTATGGACTAAACCTTCAAGTATTTGAGCAATGCTTTGTTGTTTTTTGCTATTTCCACAAGCTTTGTTGAGTTGATCATTAAAAAAAGGAACTGAAAATTGTCCTTTATATATATATATATATATATATATATATATATATATATATATATATATATGGTACTGTTTATTATTATGTGAAAAAATTCAGTTATTTAAACAGCTGGTTTAGAATCGAAATCATTAATAACCGTTTTACACTACTTACTTAAATATTAATGGTTTATAATGTGAAAAAGATAATGCTTCCGTTTAATACGAAAGTTTATGTGACTGAAAAAAGTAAGGCGATTGTATAATGCTTGTAATGATAGATTATGTATACTCTGTTTAGGTTACTATTTGATAATATAAAGTTGATTCACTTAGCTAACATTATTCTTATTATTCAATCACTTATAACTTTACTTGATTCATTGTGTTATTAAATATCCCAGTTTCCCCCATTATTATTCCACTACCATACACTAATTTGTTGTCGTTATTGTTCTCTTTACACGCACCTTACAAATTTTATCTCTTCTCATTATTATTCTGTGGCGCATATGTAACTGGTGCCCCCTTGTACCAATATTTATATGTTCAGATAAATAAATGCGTTGTTATCATAAACTAACAACTGTTGTTCATTTCATCTGCACTTATTCCATCAGTGGAAAAGTTATGCGAAATAAAACCTTAGGCTGTCCAGTCATATGGTATTGAATTTCTTAATTTCACATAATTTACAATATTATTTTATTCTACCGAACGAAATTTATCGTGCCAGTGACTTGGAAGATTAAGGTTGTGTTTGTTTATATTAATTTTTACAGTCTATCCCGATGCACACTACTAATTATTATTGCTTAATGAAATCGATCACAGATACCTACCTAAATTAGTTTTGCGACTGTTTCAAATGTGAAATGGTCTCGTAGTAAACGATATTTTCAAATTTCATTTTCTCAAATAGAAGATAAATATTATTTTAGACACTAAAACTTCGAAAAACAATAAGTTATTTATTTTTATATTAATGTCCCAACAGCATTTTAACTTTTATTCTTTGATCCACGACTTTGTTGACCTGATTAGCAAGTTTTTTTAGTAAGGCTATTTACTTACCGGATGAAGTTGCTGACCTCATGCCCTACACACTTCTCCTATATCCGGGCTGGAGGCTGTCTGTAGTCTTAGGTAGGTTCCAGGTTGAGTTTACTTATTTTATATTGATAACTTTTCGGACGAGGAATTGTTGCATAGTTGGATGAATTTTATTTATTAATTATCTGACTTAATCTTTTGTATATCTTATAGCAGAGCATGCCCATGACCCTTCAGATCTATGCTTAACCATCAAACCACTGAGTCAATACCAGATAGTTCAAAAGTACGGAGCTAACACGAAAACTACTGACAAAAAGGTCATGTGTGAGCGACTTCAAGCAGTTGTCTCTTGGGCACTGTTGTCACGCTCTCAGGTCATTAAGACCACCCCTAACCCAATTTCTTTTCCAAGTGCCTCTAGAAGATTCCTTCAACGGTGTGGGCAACCGGGAAGTGGTGACCGCCCTCAGACCTCTAACAGCATTCAAGATCACTGTATTAACTGAGCTTTCAAATTTGGTCAGCCATCTGCCAATATAGTTGGGTTGGTAGCAGCCTCACATCTAACATAGCTGAGCTCTACTTACCAAGGAATTCTCATAATTAATCATTACTTGAGGATACAATCACTATTAATATAAAGGGTTTTGGAGAGATCGTTGAACTTTATAGTTTAAGTCACAGAGTAACCTTAGACAACTAATGGAAGCTAAGAAGCAATGTACAATTATTCCTTCTTAGTGTTTTCTGCTAAGCAATAATTCTGAAACAATTTTCACTTATCTAGACAAGTATCAAAATAGCAATTTATAAATGCAGAAACCAATCATCCTTTTCAAATCGATTCATCTGTATATACCAACTAACCAGCTGAAATGAGACATCAGTTCGTCACACAAAAAACTGCATAACTTAGGCTACAATTTATTAATTAACAAGCACATTTCAGCAGACAATTATGATAAGACTAATTGATTTAAAACACACAAAAACCTTCCGTTTTCCTTTTTTTCACTGTATCTGCTTGTAGGTGCGGCAAATACTTCGTTTATTGTCAGCATCCAGAGTTCAGAAGATTTCGTATTTATCTACTCTACTATAATGCATATATTCTCTTTCCAATCGGAAATATTTCAGAGACAGCAAGTGTATGGTTTACTCTAGTTCTATCTGTAGAACGTTACTTAACTATGAGCCAAATAGGTTCAGCATATCAAAATAAACTCAGGACGCAATCACCTAACACATTACTTTCAAAACAAAAAAGTGAAATATTGTATAACACAAACCATTCAACTTATACCACAGAATATCAAGAAACTTTTAATGAAGATCAAAAATTGCCAAAAAAGGATTCAATTGAAACAGTAGAAAATGTAGTGAAACAGCAACAGCATCGTGAACAACAAACAACGGTGGGTAATTTCAAATGGTATGAAAAGCTCTCGAACTGTTGTAATTTATCAGTATTAAAACAACATATCAGAAATAGTTTGACCAATACTCCAACACCAAAGTCTTTATGTATCTTACATAAATTACACCATTCACATTTAGATAGATCAATAGGACGTTGTAGTTTAAATAAATGCATACAACTGTATGCTTGCCGAAATTGTAACTTCAAACATTCACTAGTTTTTATAACATTTTTCAGTATACTACTTAATTTGCCACTATTCTTTGTTCAAAAAGTTGTCAGGAAAAATAATCCTATAAAAAAATCAGCAATTAAACAAATGGAAAACAATAAAACAAGTGAGTGGCTACATACTATATCAAACCACTTCAATAATTTAACTTCAACTGATAATCAATACAATCAGGGTCAAATACAAGTTTTCACTGGGCTTACAGAATTCGGTAATTCAGACTTTTATAAAATTTTCTCATGGACACGTATTATGTTAATACAAGTTTTACCGTTATTATTCCTATGCTTCGTCAATTTTTGTTTATTACGTTTCATACATATAGCAAATAAACGTCGTCAAAAGTACTTATTACCAGATTTGTCTAATAAAAAAACCGGCCGTTTTAAATTACATAAAGCAAATTTGCGCAGTACAAAAGTTAATAAAGCTTCAAGCGCCAAATGGCAAGCGGCACAGCGTAAATTAACCATTTTATTAATTGTTATTATTTGTTTATTCATAGCCGGACAAATACCACAAGCATTTGCATATATTACTATATTTGAAGCATTTAATAGACATTTTGGTAATGTATGCAAACGATGGAGATGTTGTCCTCCATATTTGATTTATCGTTCAATAGCGCATATGTTGGGCTTATTTACTTACTCTACTAATTTTTTTGTTTATCTTACATTGAATAAACATTTCAAACAACAATTAAACATTTGGTTCCTATTAATATGCCCTATTAGTAAACAATTTCGGAAAAAGTGTTTATTAAAACAAAACAAATCAATAAATCATTCTTATGATCAGTCAAAATCTAAATTATCATTCACAAATCAACATAAATCAATATCTCTACCTCATAATAATCTTTATTATCGTATGTGTAAAAGAAGACGTTCATCTACGCTATTTTGTAATCCTACAAAACGACTAATATCAATTGATAATACAGATTTATCTTCTGAAGCTGTTTCAGCTCCAGTTGATTTATGCACTAGTTCAAAATGGAAAAATAAAGACTTTCTACAATTAAATGAAATGAAAAAAGATCTATTATCAACAACTATTCATCATTCCCCTCAATGTATAAATAAAATCAATTCAATTATTAAATCAGAAAATACTATTGATTATATCAAAATGAATTATTCCTCAGTACCTGCTATTAATGACGTATCAAACTATTTAGTCATATCAAATCCTGTCAATACAGATAATAATCTGCTTTATAAACCTATAGAAACTCAATTTCAACAATCCTCTTTAATCACTAAAAATAATGACCTATCAATTAATTCTATACAACCAACAAATTGTCAAACAGAAATAAAATATGATTTAAATAATCCATCATGTATTTACAAAACTTTTCGTGCTTATTATTCACATGATTCAGTGATAAAAAATTGGATATTTCAATTAACTAATAATAATAATAATCAGAATTCTCAAAATACTAAACAAATTACAACATCACAATCACACTCAATTTATTCAAATCAATTAATAACAAATAAAGATAATTTAAACAATGATTTACAACGTGAGCAATATGTTCAGAATTATGATAAGCGTAAAGAAGATATGATTAATAATGCAAAACAAAATATTATACATTGTGTAAATCTTAATATGTTGCGCAATAGTAATAATAATAATAAAGATTATTATAATAAAAGTAATGATAATATTAGTAATAGTACTAATAGTAGTACTAGTAAGAACAGTAATAGTGCGATAACAAATTCAAAAACTTGTACTCATTCAATAATTGATTCTGATTCACATGGTGTTGGTTTGACATTTTCACATGTTTATTGTCCACTTATATATAGAGAGAGTGATTTTGATGTGATTTCAGTTGATGAAAGTAATGCACAAGATGAACCAGAGCCTAATTCATTTCTATAAAGTGTATGTTTTATGAAATAACATATGAACATTTGTTTATAATAAAAGAATTAATATTTTCGTTCTTAATGTTATATCTAGTATAAGAAGACTAGGATCTATGTATCGTTGAAACATATTAGCACATAAATAAACAACATAGTATATATCTAACATTATTCTGAGATATAAATGCTTGCTATCGTTTCAATGTTGTTTCTTCATTTATAGTTTTACCATGGTCATCATCATCGTATGAGTAGATTTCTTCCTGATACATCGGCGTATTTTATAATAGATATAAATATTTATATACATAAACATTTCACTGTGAATGATATTTATGGTACAATATACGTGTTGCAGTATATAAAATTAATGTACAGTAAAATTATTTTTATTGAACAAGCTATAAGGTCATTCCTACTTACAAAAAGAAAAAAGAATTTATTGACAAATATTTTTCTAAAAATATATATATATATATATTTATGTTGCCCGTAGTCTGATCTTACTTTATAAACTTGCTGTACGAGGGCAACTTTTTTGTAGTACACTATTAGGTAGAGCCTTATTACATTTTCTAAACTATTCATAATGCTGTAAAGTATATACATAGATTTTAATAGTACCTGAATTATTCATTAGGTTACAAGATTCGAATAAAACTTATTGCAATAAAAGAATTTTCCATTTGTTAAAAGGCAGATTTTGTGGAGTTTAACCTTGAAATAAAGACTAACTACGCTATACAGTGCAGATCTAAACATTATTTACTTTATTTAATACTTAATCATTAGAGATGCTTCCATTCTATTATCTTGATTGAGTGACTTCATATATACATTAGAGCTATATAAAGAGGTCATCCAATCATCAGAAATATTGCTATGATCAATGCACCAAGCTTGTATTTTGCATCAAGAACAGCTATTCGAGGATAAATTTCGTTTCTATATATAACTTGATAGCTTATAAAAATACGATCGTACAAACCATTTTAAACGCTAAATGAAAATATGCTTTCACATATTTTATCTAAACACACAAGAAGCAGATGACTGATATGTAGATTTTTAACTGTAAATAAAAATTGAGTGTTTGTCAATAATGTTGCCATTTCCTAAATAATTCTTCAATGTCACTTACACTTCCACGTTAAAACTTAAAAATATTGCTTCTACCACTGAAAGCTTCGATAGTTTTAAACTATATAACATCCATGGGTTATATTTTGGCACTATAAGACTGGCTGTGCGGCATTTCATATTAACAAATAGTTTGGTTATACATTCATGGGTCAAGTGATTACTAACCTACAGAAACAATCCTTTGTTCAAATAAGAATTCATCATAAAAACCCTGAATCTTTCTGCGATACAAAAAAAAGTAACGCAGGAGAGAAACACAGTAAATTGAATATTAGGTAAAATGGCCTTCCGGAGGATAATTCAAATAGCAGATATTAAACGGAAAGAAGTAATCAAGATTCAGGTATCAATAAAACAAAAGAGCAATAGGAACCATTTACGAAATAGTAACCAACAATACTTGAGTGTTCAATATTCCAAAAACCAGTAACTAATCTGAAGATGAGTTCTGAGATTTTTCATAATACGTTCTAAAACGTGAGCAAAAACATATCAACAGGCGCTTGTCACCAACAAACATGCCAACACATTTCCTCAAAAACTAGAAAATTTTAGGATACAAAGACGCATCACAGAAACAAAACAACAGCCATAATCCATGACAGAAAAAAATAACAAATAAAGTTAAAGAAATCGAACCTTCAATCTAACGTGCACGAATAAAGTATACGAGGTGAACTCCAACGACATTTCTAAATCTAACAAAACTGTTCGCAACCAGTACACGACTACACAATCCGGATACGTGAGTCAAGCTTACACTTACCAAACCAAAGATATCACATAGAACACAAACAATGGAAACCCTAGTAGCCGAGAAACAATTTTGCGCAGTCTACTATTTCATACTTAGGCGACTGGTGCTGCAACTGCGTAATAGAAACATTAACGACAAATAAAAGATGAACAAAAGTAAACCTTCTAGACACCATCTATCTTTCCAATCGACACTTAATACCGATGTGCATCGTCGAAACAACCAATTTATCCCAACACAATAGACCCTACCCAATGCACCATTGTGATCACTGACTTGTCTCGACATTTATACATGCAATCTCTATATATCTATGATACTTCGTTACGTTCAGTGCTGGAAACCCATTTGACAATTTATCCTGAAGAGATCACCTCACAGTCAACACCCGAACATGAAACCGACACATCAGTCAAGAAACACTGTGCTAAGCACCTGTTCTTTGTTGGTGACATACAACAAACTGTCCTCGTAGACAAACTCCAGTCTGATCTTTATTCGATGGAATATAGCATCTACACACTTCCAAAATAGATATATCTCACCATCTTTATCGATGCTCAAGCCAGTTCGCATAAAATTCCGTTAAATTTAGATTAAGAAACTAATGAGCATCAACATTTAAATACATAAAGCATACTATCAGGCTGCTGGATAAGCCATCAGACACACGAAGACCTCCTTAAACTAAGCATATGAAGTATGTAGTGTAAACCATTTATTAAACACAGGCTTATAAACTCGACTTTGAGTCGCACTGTTTATGTGAAAGCTAATGATACTAACCGAATTCCCCAAACCGAGGTAGGTGAGGTGGGATTAGAGCCCGCAACTTATCGGTTGATATATACCTACAACACTGAAACAACCATGTTCAGCGCATTGTCAAAACATTGCATTGGAATCACGACGATTAATACGATACAATACAATACGTTACATACCCAACGCACAATAGAAGGCAGACGTGAAATGCCTTACCGAAGGCGCAAATTCTTCGGACACTTCATAATACGGTTATCTGTTATATATTTTGGAAAATGTTTTATCAATTACTCCAGTGGCTTACCGTACGCATCAGGATAACCAGAATCTAGGCCCGAAGAACGGGGTTAGAACCACCACTTTTCGGCAATCCTGCTGCAGTCATGTAACCACCCCCACAGCTCACACACCCACTAGCATGAACAACCTTGGTTGTCAACGCCAAATGTCCGCAAGCAAATTCTGTTCACGCTTTGAGAATTGGCTATCTTGGTTACTCTGTAGAGCAACCTTTAGACCTACACCGACTAATCCCCATAACACAATGTGTGAACAGCTACAGCACCACAGCAAAACCTGCTAGTCTCACCATCAGACAGCCGCTTTGCCGGAAAGATTTAACTGCACACCAGCACAACTATGTTTCCAGATTAACAGCTAAACTCCGAGTTAAAAATCTGCAAACAGCTAACTGATCAAAACTGTCTCGCCTGACACTGCGAACAACAGCAATCTCCCATGAATCAGCATAGCATACAGGCAATCCATATCGGCAGGATATTAGCTGATAAGAAAAGCAAAAGGCTTAGTTAGATGATAGATTCATGATATATATGTATAAACCAATAAAAACAATGAACAAGTTAAATAAGCGTCAGCAGTCAACGTCGTTCTCTTGATAACGACCGACTATAATGTCGGGGAGAAGAAGGAAGACGATATCGATCGTTCATTCTACGTGGTGACCGCCTGTCACGACCAGACGAGAAAGAACGAGAACGCCGTCCATTACGTCGCGGAGTAACCGATCGTCTGAAAAGTTAAAAGTGAACCCATTTGCGAGAATACAGTTACACAAAAATAGTGATAAATGATGCATGCAAGCGGACACCAATAATTAAAGAGAGAAGTAGAACAAATATAACAAGATAAATTGAAATACAGAGAGAATAATTAACTAGCTATACCTACACTTATTACCAAGTAAAACACAATAATCAATGCACACAGTACACTAAACATATAAAAACTTCACCGTCGGGAAATTCTTCATACAGACTAACAAGCATCCCCATAAAATTGGTTTGCATATAATACGCAAATACTACATAATCGCCACTCATGGTAGGCTAAATCCTAATAGTATACTTCTCATCCACAACGCTTTCTATTTGCCATCTCATCTATATGGGCTGTCCAAATGTCAGGCAATCACCTGGTCAAACCCAAACGAACAATCCCTAATTAATCAAATCAATTTGTATGGAAAACAATTGTAGAAACGGTACTAGAGGCACGTGAATACCATTAGCGACCGTCTACTTCAATATAGCATTTTTGGGAGACCAGAACGATATCCTGGTACTATGAAAATGCACAAAAATCTAACATCTGAATCTGCAACTTTGTAGGAGAGATTCACAGTAGACAGTAGTTTTGCCAACAAATCAATCCTTTCAATATAGCATTCCTAAAACACCCGACTACAGTCAGGCTCTAGCGGAATGCACAAAAAGAATCATGTTTCAATATGTAGAAGCAATTTTAACGGGATGCGATGCACACCGCCAGTGATTGCTACGTTCATTTTGGCATCACTGAAGCACTAGGCTTGTTAACCAGCCTTCGTCAGATGCCATTCACTAAACATCTTTATTATTTGGTTCTACTACATAGACGTGTATACTCCAGTTCCTGTTACAGCACTACACACTGGCCATTCTTCATAGTTCCACATCAATTCGCCTCCTCACAGGCGTGCAACAGCAACTCTTACGAGATATAACGCGCTCCCCTCAAGAGCCACCAGAAGATTCCTGCAAAATCCAATATCACTTCCGTGACGCTTCGTTAAGCAGGCATAAATCCAACAGACCAAAGCCCATAAATGATTTCATGCCACATCCATTCACGCCACTGAATAAAAACTTCTCCTGCATTTTCCCACTTTCCCGTCAACGCCCGCTTACCATCCTTCTTCTATTACTACTTATGTGGTATCCGCCCACAAATTCATTGCTCAATCAAACTGTCTTGACGTAAAAAAATAGCAACCTCATTAATCGAAGTCTAACATTTAGCAATTGTACCCTTAAAAAAATAACACGGTGCACAAATCCGAAAGGCATGATACCCACTTGAAATACAAAATGGATGACAACCAGTTATCAATTCATCAGCTGAGCACAAACAACATGTCACCACCAATACTGTGGGGCACCAACTGTTAACTCTGTTTACTACACAAACACAACAATACATTATTTCATTATCTCACCAATTGTAAAAACACCGGCGCAGCTTCTCTATACATCATCAAAACCTAACTAAGTCCCAACCGCGGCCACAACGCAATTCAACAATCACTCCTCAACAACGGTCCTCCTCCTACCAATCGTACAACTCAGTGCAGTGAGACGTCACTAAACATGACTCAGAATAAAAGCCAGTGGTGATTATTCGGTAGTCCTATTTGACGTTCCTCCGAAACTTGAACTGTATCTCTTAAAGTCCTCATTCTCGTCGTGACTACAGGACTTCCCCAGTCATTTTGTCTTTTTGAACACCTATCTTCACTTCGTATCATCTGGTGTGTTTCCTAGCGCTCAATTGTACCAAACACCTTACGTGTCACAAATAAATAATACGAGCAACATACACATAATCAAATCTGCACAGACACCCACTTGGATGAAAGAAGGTTAATTCTCAACAAATCAACGACTATATGACTCAGTAGAAACTTACAACCAACTAACATCACTCTACTACATTGAACCCGAGTGAAAACTGCACGATACTTACAAGTGGTTGACACCATCACTCAAACTAACAGTCGGTAGGACAAACACATAATTTTCCCCACTCCCTTCTTCGATTCACGATCTCGCGTGTCGAATTCGCCGACTTATACAACAACAAAACAATTCCTGATCAACATGAAACACATGAACGCACAATGCAAATTCTTGCGAAAATCTAACACTTCTCTTGCAGCACAATCCAAAACAAAATTTTAAACACATACATACCTGCCTTCATTAACCTAACAGCACTTCGGTTCATATACACAAACCGTCTGACATATTCATTATTCACCTAACCCTATCGGTGACTACACTAATGACCACACCTAACTACAACCGACCTGAACACATCCCCATATAATAACACCGGGTTAAATAGAACCACTCAATGCTAAACTAAACAATATTAGACATCGTCCACATCACTTGCGGCTATCAAACACTAGTTTGTTCAGCAACATTTGACAGGCAAACGCTCAATCAGATCACATATAACACCATAGACACCTCATTACACTTTAGGCGCAATACACTTAACATTGGAGCCGTCAGTCACACCCCACTTACATGTCATTGTAACAACTGGCACTCATATGCAAGCAACATTATCGAATCACACTCTGCACAATTTAGGGTGAGTAAATCCCATAAACTGATTGAACTCAGAAGAACAATCCCCAATCAATCAAATCAATTTGTATGGAAAACAATTGTAGAAACGGTACTAGAGGCACGTGAATACCATTAGCGATCGTCTACTTCAATATAGCATTTTGGGAGACCAGAACAATGTCCTGGTACTATGAAAATGCAATACCAATCTCCAACCAGGTTTACAGAGACTCGTAATAAACATAAGTACATGCTACTGCAAAAACTCTAGGATGGGAAACGTCAATGACTATTGTTTATTTTAATCTAGCACTGACCGAAACTAGAACCATACACACACTCCACACAACACCCTATAGGGAACAAACAATGTAGGAGCTATTCGGGAAGCAAAATTGCCTCCACAAATACCCTCCTTTTAATGTAGCATCCTTCTGACACCCGACCAGAGTCAGGCTCTAATAGAATGCGAGGTGAATTCCAACCACATTTCTAAATCTAACAAAACTGTTCGCAACCAGTACACGACTACACAATCCGGATACGTGAGTCAAGCTTACACTTACCAAACCAAAGATATCACATAGAACACAAACAATGGAAACCCTAGTAGCCGAGAAACAATTTTGCGCAGTCTACTATTTCATACTTAGGCGACTGGTGCTGCAACTGCGTAATAGAAACATTAACGACAAATAAAAGATGAACAAAAGTAAACCTTCTAGACACCATCTATCTTTCCAATCGACACTTAATACCGATGTGCATCGTCGAAACAACCAATTTATCCCAACACAATAGACCCTACCCAATGCACCATTGTGATCACTGACTTGTCTCGACATTTATACATGCAATCTCTATATATCTATGATACTTCGTTACGTTCAGTGCTGGAAACCCATTTGACAATTTATCCTGAAGAGATCACCTCACAGTCAACACCCGAACATGAAACCGACACATCAGTCAAGAAACACTGTGCTAAGCACCTGTTCTTTGTTGGTGACATACAACAAACTGTCCTCGTAGACAAACTCCAGTCTGATCTTTATTCGATGGAATATAGCATCTACACACTTCCAAAATAGATATATCTCACCATCTTTATCGATGCTCAAGCCAGTTCGCATAAAATTCCGTTAAATCTAGATTAAGAAACTAATGAGCATCAACATTTAAATACATAAAGCATACTATCAGGCTGCTGGATAAGCCATCAGACACACGAAGACCTCCTTAAACTAAGCATATGAAGTATGTAGTGTAAACCATTTATTAAACACAGGCTTATAAACTCGACTTTGAGTCGCACTGTTTATGTGAAAGCTAATGATACTAACCGAATTCCCCAAACCGAGGTAGGTGAGGTGGGATTAGAGCCCGCAACTTATCGGTTGATATATACCTACAACACTGAAACAACCATGTTCAGCGCATTGTCAAAACATTGCATTGGAATCACGACGATTAATACGATACAATACAATACGTTACATACCCAACGCACAATAGAAGGCAGACGTGAAATGCCTTACCGAAGGCGCAAATTCTTCGGACACTTCATAATACGGTTATCTGTTATATATTTTGGAAAATGTTTTATCAATTACTCCAGTGGCTTACCGTACGCATCAGGATAACCAGAATCTAGGCCCGAAGAACGGGGTTAGAACCACCACTTTTCGGCAATCCTGCTGCAGTCATGTAACCACCCCCACAGCTCACACACCCACCAGCATGAACAACCTTGGTTGTCAACGCCAAATGTCCGCAAGCAAATTCTGTTCACGCTTTGAGAATTGGCTATCTTGGTTACTCTGTAGAGCAACCTTTAGACCTACACCGACTAATCCCCATAACACAATGTGTGAACAGCTACAGCACCACAGCAAAACCTGCTAGTCTCACCATCAGACAGCCGCTTTGCCGGAAAGATTTAACTGCACACCAGCACAACTATGTTTCCAGATTAACAGCTAAACTCCGAGTTAAAAATCTGCAAACAGCTAACTGATCAAAACTGTCTCGCCTGACACTGCGAACAACAGCAATCTCCCATGAATCAGCATAGCATACAGGCAATCCATATCGGCAGGATATTAGCTGATAAGAAAAGCAAAAGGCTTAGTTAGATGATAGATTCATGATATATATGTATAAACCAATAAAAACAATGAACAAGTTAAATAAGCGTCAGCAGTCAACGTCGTTCTCTTGATAACGACCGACTATAATGTCGGGGAGAAGAAGGAAGACGATATCGATCGTTCATTCTACGTGGTGACCGCCTGTCACGACCAGACGAGAAAGAACGAGAACGCCGTCCATTACGTCGCGGAGTAACCGATCGTCTGAAAAGTTAAAAGTGAACCCATTTGCGAGAATACAGTTACACAAAAATAGTGATAAATGATGCATGCAAGCGGACACCAATAATTAAAGAGAGAAGTAGAACAAATATAACAAGATAAATTGAAATACAGAGAGAATAATTAACTAGCTATACCTACACTTATTACCAAGTAAAACACAATAATCAATGCACACAGTACACTAAACATATAAAAACTTCACCGTCGGGAAATTCTTCATACAGACTAACAAGCATCCCCATAAAATTGGTTTGCATATAATACGCAAATACTACATAATCGCCACTCATGGTAGGCTAAATCCTAATAGTATACTTCTCATCCACAACGCTTTCTATTTGCCATCTCATCTATATGGGCTGTCCAAATGTCAGGCAATCACCTGGTCAAACCCAAACGAACAATCCCTAATTAATCAAATCAATTTGTATGGAAAACAATTGTAGAAACGGTACTAGAGGCACGTGAATACCATTAGCGACCGTCTACTTCAATATAGCATTTTTGGGAGACCAGAACGATATCCTGGTACTATGAAAATGCACAAAAATCTAACATCTGAATCTGCAACTTTGTAGGAGAGATTCACAGTAGACAGTAGTTTTGCCAACAAATCAATCCTTTCAATATAGCATTCCTAAAACACCCGACTACAGTCAGGCTCTAGCGGAATGCACAAAAAGAATCATGTTTCAATATGTAGAAGCAATTTTAACGGGATGCGATGCACACCGCCAGTGATTGCTACGTTCATTTTGGCATCACTGAAGCACTAGGCTTGTTAACCAGCCTTCGTCAGATGCCATTCACTAAACATCTTTATTATTTGGTTCTACTACATAGACGTGTATACTCCAGTTCCTGTTACAGCACTACACACTGGCCATTCTTCATAGTTCCACATCAATTCGCCTCCTCACAGGCGTGCAACAGCAACTCTTACGAGATATAACGCGCTCCCCTCAAGAGCCACCAGAAGATTCCTGCAAAATCCAATATCACTTCCGTGACGCTTCGTTAAGCAGGCATAAATCCAACAGACCAAAGCCCATAAATGATTTCATGCCACATCCATTCACGCCACTGAATAAAAACTTCTCCTGCATTTTCCCACTTTCCCGTCAACGCCCGCTTACCATCCTTCTTCTATTACTACTTATGTGGTATCCGCCCACAAATTCATTGCTCAATCAAACTGTCTTGACGTAAAAAAATAGCAACCTCATTAATCGAAGTCTAACATTTAGCAATTGTACCCTTAAAAAAATAACACGGTGCACAAATCCGAAAGGCATGATACCCACTTGAAATACAAAATGGATGACAACCAGTTATCAATTCATCAGCTGAGCACAAACAACATGTCACCACCAATACTGTGGGGCACCAACTGTTAACTCTGTTTACTACACAAACACAACAATACATTATTTCATTATCTCACCAATTGTAAAAACACCGGCGCAGCTTCTCTATACATCATCAAAACCTAACTAAGTCCCAACCGCGGCCACAACGCAATTCAACAATCACTCCTCAACAACGGTCCTCCTCCTACCAATCGTACAACTCAGTGCAGTGAGACGTCACTAAACATGACTCAGAATAAAAGCCAGTGGTGATTATTCGGTAGTCCTATTTGACGTTCCTCCGAAACTTGAACTGTATCTCTTAAAGTCCTCATTCTCGTCGTGACTACAGGACTTCCCCAGTCATTTTGTCTTTTTGAACACCTATCTTCACTTCGTATCATCTGGTGTGTTTCCTAGCGCTCAATTGTACCAAACACCTTACGTGTCACAAATAAATAATACGAGCAACATACACATAATCAAATCTGCACAGACACCCACTTGGATGAAAGAAGGTTAATTCTCAACAAATCAACGACTATATGACTCAGTAGAAACTTACAACCAACTAACATCACTCTACTACATTGAACCCGAGTGAAAACTGCACGATACTTACAAGTGGTTGACACCATCACTCAAACTAACAGTCGGTAGGACAAACACATAATTTTCCCCACTCCCTTCTTCGATTCACGATCTCGCGTGTCGAATTCGCCGACTTATACAACAACAAAACAATTCCTGATCAACATGAAACACATGAACGCACAATGCAAATTCTTGCGAAAATCTAACACTTCTCTTGCAGCACAATCCAAAACAAAATTTTAAACACATACATACCTGCCTTCATTAACCTAACAGCACTTCGGTTCATATACACAAACCGTCTGACATATTCATTATTCACCTAACCCTATCGGTGACTACACTAATGACCACACCTAACTACAACCGACCTGAACACATCCCCATATAATAACACCGGGTTAAATAGAACCACTCAATGCTAAACTAAACAATATTAGACATCGTCCACATCACTTGCGGCTATCAAACACTAGTTTGTTCAGCAACATTTGACAGGCAAACGCTCAATCAGATCACATATAACACCATAGACACCTCATTACACTTTAGGCGCAATACACTTAACATTGGAGCCGTCAGTCACACCCCACTTACATGTCATTGTAACAACTGGCACTCATATGCAAGCAACATTATCGAATCACACTCTGCACAATTTAGGGTGAGTAAATCCCATAAACTGATTGAACTCAGAAGAACAATCCCCAATCAATCAAATCAATTTGTATGGAAAACAATTGTAGAAACGGTACTAGAGGCACGTGAATACCATTAGCGATCGTCTACTTCAATATAGCATTTTGGGAGACCAGAACAATGTCCTGGTACTATGAAAATGCAATACCAATCTCCAACCAGGTTTACAGAGACTCGTAATAAACATAAGTACATGCTACTGCAAAAACTCTAGGATGGGAAACGTCAATGACTATTGTTTATTTTAATCTAGCACTGACCGAAACTAGAACCATACACACACTCCACACAACACCCTATAGGGAACAAACAATGTAGGAGCTATTCGGGAAGCAAAATTGCCTCCACAAATACCCTCCTTTTAATGTAGCATCCTTCTGACACCCGACCAGAGTCAGGCTCTAATAGAATGCGAGGTGAATTCCAACCACATTTCTAAATCTAACAAAACTGTTCGCAACCAGTACACGACTACACAATCCGGATACGTGAGTCAAGCTTACACTTACCAAACCAAAGATATCACATAGAACACAAACAATGGAAACCCTAGTAGCCGAGAAACAATTTTGCGCAGTCTACTATTTCATACTTAGGCGACTGGTGCTGCAACTGCGTAATAGAAACATTAACGACAAATAAAAGATGAACAAAAGTAAACCTTCTAGACACCATCTATCTTTCCAATCGACACTTAATACCGATGTGCATCGTCGAAACAACCAATTTATCCCAACACAATAGACCCTACCCAATGCACCATTGTGATCACTGACTTGTCTCGACATTTATACATGCAATCTCTATATATCTATGATACTTCGTTACGTTCAGTGCTGGAAACCCATTTGACAATTTATCCTGAGGAGATCACCTCACAGTCAACACCCGAACATGAAACCGACACATCAGTCAAGAAACACTGTGCTAAGCACCTGTTCTTTGTTGGTGACATACAACAAACTGTCCTCGTAGACAAACTCCAGTCTGATCTTTATTCGATTGAATAAAGCATTTACACACTTCTGTTTTCTTAATAGACACTCAATACTGACGTGCAGAGATATTCTTAACTTTGGCTTTTATTCAGTGGAATACAGGAATTTTATGCTTCCAAAATTTGTCTATGCCAGTATTTTAATCGACTACCATTTCACTCCTTTAAAATCGCATCGACATTTTGTAGCAGGGAAGTTGTGATATCGACATTTAAGTACATATAATAGCATCTCGTGTGGGAATATATACTACTTATTATCGATATTACCGAGATTTCATGGATGATTTCTAAAATAATTTCGAATCCAATTCTTTTCGTTGGGTCGCTATAAACGCGAAACGAAATGTAACTCGTGACTCAGGGTAATGTACACAAAAGCAGTTTTAACAAAATGATTCTTACCTTCGACGGTTTGGAGTTGGTCGACCATATTTTGCTCTTTGGACTCGGACTTCTCTTCCATCTACCTTATGGCCATCCATACCGCGTATGGCACAGTCAGCCTCGCGGTCAGTGCAGTATCGAACGAAAGCAAATCCTCGACTCTCGAAAGTGTAGGGATCTCTAGGTATGTAGATATCACCTGTGACGAAAGGTGCATAAATGAAGTTTCACAAGAGGGCGTGTTTTAGGACACGCGTTACTTACCAACTTCGCCAAATCGGCTGAAAACTCTTCGCAAGTCATCAATAGTTGTTCTGTATGCCAAGTTATCAACTTTCAACGATACCATCCCATCGATTCTTGGTGGAGATCGACCGTACCTGTTCATAACTCAGAGTTCTGAAACCGGATATCAATGACTAGTGACCTAGCTAACCATTGATAAAAACAAGGTCATGCTATAAAGCATATTGAAACATATTTCGGTACTTTCTTGTAATATGGTCTAAAGAATCCTGTAATTCGAAACAGATCGCTATATCGGATGGTTATGGATGGAATACTGAAAACTGTCGTTTGACGAGCCTTCATGTTCATATACCTATATCCCCAGATTGAGATCTAGGTACATAGTACAATTCCTAAGAGTGCATGAAGTTCACTCCTAAAAGACTCCCTTGGACGGATAGTAGAGAATCCCAAGACTCGACAACTTGTAATGAGTAGAAGCTGTCTGTACTGTTTGGTACAAACATTAAGTTCACGCATCAGTATACTTATTCGTAATAGGACGCCTGACAGAACATACGAATGTCAAATGCAATAATTCAGTTCCATCGACCAAATTGACCTCAGTGGGGCGATTAATTCGAAGGCCTTATATGGGTATCTTTATGGTGTTCCTTTGTTTGTTTATTTGTCTATCCATAAGTTATATTCCACCATTATATTGATCTACAAACATTTCAGACGCGTTGAATAAGTAACAGACTGAGCTGTTTGTACTCTTTGTTGCAGTACAGACTAAACTACTATAATGAAATCCTGGGTTTCATTTTATTACAATATCCTATTTCCGGTGTTTCCCGATTGTTAGTGACTATAGAACCATGAATGTAGTACTGTCCTGACTTCTTTAGAATAGATCAAGTTTCCTCCCCCTGAACTAACTTAGCTAATGGCAAGCTCCAAGGCCTAACTAATCATGAAGAGTAGAAGGTGGGATATCTCCTTAGCTTTCTGTGTTCCGCCTCTGATTTATGGGTGGCCCCCTAAGATATTGTCCTAACACAGAGCATTTGTAAGCATCTTTTTTAAAAAAAGTGTTTAGGACGCTTCATGGTACTAAAAGGTCGCCTATGAGTCACGTATAATTAAATAAAAAAGGATCCAGCGTTTTAACGCATCCTACATAAAGCGTGGGCTTGAGTTTCCAATTTGGTTGCGTGATCAGTTTGTGTATATGATCTACTGTATTCTTAACCACTCTAGAGTGGTGGTGAAAACGCTATATTTTCATACTCTTAGTTAGGCTGAATGTAACTTGAAAATCACACAGAAAGTTGTACTTTCGAATCAACCACAATGTACTTCAAAATTACCGGTATAAGGTTTACTCTAAGGGCTTTTCATTACAATTAGCACACGATCTTAGATCATAGGAAGTCAAGATGCCTAAATACGTCCGCTCAACAACACTTCTATAAATACATTGCCTATGTTGCATGTGTAGTTTGTTCCAGATGCCAAATGAACTACTTTACACTTTGAAGTTAAAGTTGGTCCATTAAATTTGAGTCACCTCCTACTGAGGCGCTATCTTATTATTCTGGTAGCAAACTTATCTGCAAAACTCCGAGTCATCAGTAAAGCAATCATTCAGAAGATACCCACCGGAAAAGATCACTTCTATGAATCAGAAAGGTCCGAGTGCGGAGTTCTTAAGGACCCTAATAAAGAATCCTATAGCCCGAAACAGTTAATAATTAACCCTGAACTTAATGAGCCAATTATTTAGGTACTACTTTACCCACCTTATAATTGGTGACTGAATACCTGCACGTTTGAACTTATTGACAAGATATGCATGATTGTCTCCAAGTACTCATAATGCATTAGCTTCACCCTGTCCTTACGACCGAGTATGTTACTCCATCCACCAACCATTACCAGAAAATTTATGATTGTATCGCGATCTTTCCGTAAACCTTGCTGTTTCATTTCCAGTTTCCACCTGGGAGGGGTTTTGGGACGCATGGCTTGTAATAGTCCTGACTATAAAGGTGTCGCAGTTGGCTCGACTTTCTTTTTAACGCGCTCAAAAACGGAACTTCAACCACGTCTTCAGATAGATAGTTCTGCCTATTGATTATCACGCGGGAAAACTGTTAATCACCTAACAAGTAAATTTTTCTGTTTGAGAACTTCTTTGAGCATCTTTACAAACCCTCGATTTTTGTAGATAAAACGGGACGGCACGTCACACACACTGGGAATGTTTGGTCTGGTCAGCCTATACGCAGCAATAAATGTGGGTTGAGACAACCGGTACAGCAGCAGCCTCCTAAACAGTAGTGTTATAATGCAGAGTTGGAGGACACCAACAAGTCCGTGGGCAAGAGTACATGTAGATTTCGCCGGTCCCATAAACGCGAAACAGTACTTGGTGATTGTTGATGCCTTCTCAAAACGGCCAGAGGTCCACTACATGAAGTCTCTTTCGACAAAAGCTACTATCAAAAAACTGAGACAAGTATTCAGCTGCTTTGGGTGTCCAGATATATTGGTGGCTGATAATGGACCATAGTTTACCTCCACTGAATTTTCGAAGTTCTGAGTCGCCAACGCCGTCAGGCATATAAAGACACCCACATACCACCCGCAGTCAAACGGTCTAGTCGAGATGTTCGTTGATACGTTTAAAAGAGCACTGCTTAAAGCCTAGGGAGAAGGGGAAATAGAAGAGATGATTCGAAGATTTCTACAAACCTACCGAGCAACACACAATCCAGCAACAAATAATCAAGAAAGTCCAGGAGAAGCAATTTTTGGAAGAAAGAATAGAATACCTATAGAGCAAATGAAACCAAAACCTAGAACCAACCTCCGCAAGAACAAACGAATGGAACAGCAATTCAACAGGCGTCATGGTGCACTACCCAGAAGGCTTAAGGTGGGACAAGCGGTAATAACAAGAGATTTCACGGCAGTAAAGCCAACCTGTAAGTTTGGCATAATAATACGGAAAAAGGGAAAGTTATCTACGAAGTAAAAGTTGGACAAAAGATATGGGTGCGACATGCAAGGCAGATACAACCAACCAGACAAGAGCGGGAGACAGGAAATGCTATAAAGTCGAATATACCAATAAATATACCAACTGAGTCGGATAATGAAATTAAAAATGACCCGAATAATAACAAGACGTATACAACAGTCCCAAGGAGGTCGCAGCGCATCAGGCGGAAACCTAATCGAATAAAAATAAATCCTAAGAATCATTATTATCTCTAATGCTTCAAAAAAAGGAGGTCTTATAACCCAGTGAAGATTAAGTTACAGGTAACTTCCGAGGACTGTTAACAGACTAATATTCTATAAATATCTTGTTGTATAATTATTCAATAATTACATTATGTGTATTTATATTCCCCTTATTATAAGCTTTATTTTGGCCTATAATTTATTACTATATGATTTACGGTTCTTAATCTATGTTCGGTCTATTAATTACCACCTCCCACGTTCACAGCCACTTTCTGGCTTATTTGTGTACACATGTTATTTTCTATTTTATGGTACGTTGTGGTCTGTGTGATTGGTATATGAACAGAGTATGTTTGAAATACATAACTCATATTGCGGAAGCTGGTATTGTGTTTTTTTGGACTCAAGCAGACGGGCTAGAAGGACCTCGGACCAACAAGGAGCTAGACTGCCCACACCGGTTGAACGTCATTGGTTGACATAGAGTAAAGATTTGTATAAGTCGTATTCTGATTGGTTGATAATTCGCGTGGTAGAAAGGCCAGACATCAGGATCATAACAATTAGGACACATAATGCACAAGGAAAAGAGAAAGATCATAAAATACAACACAACGGATAGCAAACGAATCGCACTTGATGGACGGTCTCTGGAAGAGGTGAAAACTGTGATAGTTTTAAGTATTCGAATTTAAGTAAAAACTAAGAATCCCAGAAATAAATCAACCTAAAAAAGAAGTACTGGATCAGCACGAACGAACGTATTGTATTTAGAATTCAAAATCAGACAGTCATCAAGTGCAAATGAATCATTAATCCATACAAATACCAAATCCGCCACAGCTTAAACGAGATTTCTAATCTGTGTGATCAGTCGTACATCTTCTCCTTAGTTTCATAATGTGACTGTCCGATTGTGTGTTGGATTTAGACTCCGTATGATCAGCATTCCTACAGTTGGAGAACATATTGAATTCTAAACAACTGCCAACCAATATCAAAGTGATAATCTTCAATACGAACATCAAGGCAGTTCTACTGTACGGAGCTGAAACTTGGAGGACTACACCAACCATCATCAAGAAGGTGCAAGTATTTATAAATAGTTGTCTACGCAAGATATTCAACACCCATTAGCCGGATACCATCAGCAACAGCCTTCTATGGGAGAGAACAAACCAGCTTCCTGCTGAAGAGGAAATTAGAAAAAGACGATGGGGGTGGATAGGACATGCATCATGGAAACCATCAAACTACATCACGAGGCAAGCCCTAACGTGGAATCCTGAAGGGAAGTGGAAAAGCGGAAGTTCGAAGAACACATTACGTCGGGAAATGAAAGCATATATGAAAAGGATGAATAACAACTGGAAGGAACTAGAAATGATTGCCCAGGACAGAGTTGGATGGAGAATGTTGGTAAGCGGCCTATGCTCCTTCACGAGGAGTAACAGGCGTAATTAAATAAGTAAGTCATATCCATTAGCATAATCTTGGATTCCGTTTGAATCTTCTGTCTGTGCAAACTTTATATCTGGAACAACTGGTCCTCTAAGTCCTTCGGGAAAAGTTTCTATTCCCTCTGATTCATCATACCGCTGACTAGAGATCCTACTCAACATACATTGGTTGTGAGAATACCCAACATCTGACACAATAAAATCAGGAATGTGACTTGAATTAGACTCATTCGGAACATATTTGTCACATTCATTAGGGCTATCTTTGAAGCTGAACATATGATTTAATTCCACTTGGTATTTTTTACTTGAATCTTCCCATTGATGCTTAGGACTGCAATTGATCAATCTCTTATTGGCATATGTGCATACTGTGTGTATTTCTTCGACATTACCTTAATTAACAGGCATTACAAGCAAAAATGGATAGTGGCTAGCAGTG